GAATCAGGTACCTCTGGGGCCTCCCCTCTCTGCCCGCCACCCTCTCCCATCACCCACAGTCCCTGTGGCCTGAACGAGGGGCCGGTTTGTTCACCACAGAGCTGGACGTCCTCTGAGAGCAGATGGGCTTCTGCACTTTACAGACCCTGTGAGGCACAGGAAAAGAAAAGGGGCCTAAGGATGACGGTCTCCACATTCTGAGAATGACAGTGCTTGGTGCCAAGTTATAAGTACAGCGTCTTCTGTTCTCAGAACACAGGCAGAAAGTTAAAGATAACCAAATCATTTTTCACATCTTCTATTTCTCAATTGAAAAAGCCTTTCTTTGGTGACCTAGGATCCTGCATGCTGAAACAGTACTCCCACCCCACTTCCCTCCCTTCTTCCACTGTCTCTTCCTTTTGTTCTGTCAGTTCCAAGAAGGATCCATGACTTTGTATTGTCCATGTGTTCCCTAGATGTTAAGAGACCAAGCAAAAGGCAGTGTAGCTTAGCTTAATGGGCAAGGGTACAAAATGCAATGCCAACATGCCTGGGTTCAAATCCTGTCTCAGCCCACGGGCATGGACAACTACTTACCTTCTCTGTACCTGAGTCTCTTCATCTGTAACATATGGATGATAATAGTAACTGTCGACACCCTATAGAGGGTCCTTGTGAGGATCCAATGGAGTTAATATACACAAAGCCCTTTAGAGCAGTGCCAGATACTTAGTAAGCAATACACGTGTTTGTTGCCATTTTTATTGAGCATGTATGATGTACTAAGAACTTTAACATGAAATATCTTATTTAACCCTTTACAGCTCCCCTATAAAGATGGTATTTTATTTATTTATTTATTTTAAAGATGGTATTTTAAAAGCTTTTTTCCAATGATGAAACAGGCTAGGGAGGTTGTTGACAAAGATCACTTCACCATTAACTGGCCAATATGGAATTCAGACTCAGATCCTTCTGACTCCAAACTCAGTGCTAAACCACTGCACTCTCACTTCCCAGCGTGAATGGATCCGAATGCGGAGCATCGCAGCGGGGTGTCAGGTCTGAGACACGCTCTGTTAACGTAGCATCTTCTCTTTATAGATGAGACCTTACACCAGTCTTAAGCTGCTTTGACTTGTCAAAGTTTCTCCATTGACTCTTTGCCCCTAACATTGCCAGTCCTTTTGTGCTTTTCTAGCATCCAGCCTGATTCCCTTCTAATTCTCCACTTCTTCAGGAGAAATCTTTTCTTTTCTATACAGGAGAAAGCTGGCCTCCAGGGTAGAAAATTATTTGCAATGTTGTTTCCCTCAGCGATTGCCTCCGTTTCTTCTGAGCGGCTAGATGGTTATAGGGCTTCACTCCGCATGTGCGTGAAAACCTGTTGAAGAGAACACGTGACGATGCAGAGCTAGCAAAACCTAGGGTGCTCTTCCCAGCACGTAGCGTGGCCGCCTCTGCCTGGTTCACCTGGAAACCTTCGGGTTGGTTGGAAATGTACCTGTGGTCTTTACCTGCCCTATTTCTTAAACTATTTTTCAATCTGCCTGTGTCGCTGCCGCTTTGCAGTGTTGGCCACCAGCGTCACCATGTCCCATATGGACTGCTGCTCTGGCCACCTGCCTTGGGTTCTCCAACCCACCGGGCAGAGCTTCCTGAAACTGAAATCATACTGCGTCCCTGCCTTACTGAACACACCGCCGGGCTTTCCAGGACTGTTAGGGCAAAGCCGGGATCCCTGAACTCGGTGTGCCCACCCTGCCCGGCATTCCAGCCTCATCCAGCTCCGCAGACTGGCTGTGTCCTCTCACTGTGCAGGGGACACTTCCCCCAGACACTGGGAACCCTGACAACCCTGCCCTCCATTCAGGTCTCAGCTCAGCTGTGGCTTCTGCAGGAAAGCCGCTCCTGGCCAGGCCCGCGCTGCGACCCCGCTCCCCTCTCTTCCACCGCGTTAGTCTAGTCGTGGTAGCCACGCAGGTCTTTGAGTCCTCTTAACATTTGCAGCCGTAGCCAGTTTTGCTGACGTTATGTTCCCAGTGCCTAGCATGCCCAAGCACTCACTAAATGGTTACTGCGAAACTGAGGGAAGGAGGGCAGTGCACACCTTTCTCTGTGGCAAGAAGGGTGATATTCCTAGATACCTTAGGGGGCCTCTCTAGGGGATCTGGGTGTCCCCAAAGGAAGTCTCCACATTTCAGACCAAACATTTCCATGAGCTTCCTGAACTCTCAGATTCTAGCGTCATTCCAGGGTAACCGAAGGCCCATTGCCTGACGTTTACCCTGTGCCCTTGGGCCAGCCGGTGGTGGTTCCCATGTGAACTGTCCACTCAAACACGAGGATGTCATTGTCACCTTGTATAGAAGCTTCAGAACTAAGGAGGTGGGATTCTAGAAATCTCATGCTCTGGGTCTGACCAACAATCCTCCAAGGGCTCTACCTCCTTAGAAGTTCTTTGATTCTAAACAGTTTTCTTTGTGGAAGAGTTAGAAATTAACCGAATCTCTCCAGCGGTCAACGGACCCTTCAATATCAGAGTGACCTTTCCTTCATGCATTTTATGCAAGGAAACTCTATTCTTTTTGTCGACTCGTGAGGAAAGGTTGATTAATTTATGCTTCCTTTTGAGCTAGACAGAGATACAGATAAAAACAGCTTACGCTGATCGAGCACTTACTGGTTGCCAGACACTGTGAAAAGCACGTTCCATGAACCACCTTACTCAGTCCTCCTAGAGTGGGTATAGATGCTATTAACGTCCCACTTTATAGACAAGAAATGAAGGCTCAGAAAAGTTAAGCGATTTGTGCAAGGTCACACAGCCGTAAGTGGTGGAGCTGGAGTTTGGACCTGGAACTGCCCACTCTCAAGTGCACTCTCTTAGCCTCCATGCTGCCTTGCCTTATCCTTTCACGAGTTTTGTATCACTTGCAGGTTTTGACTTGTTTGGCACAAAACAACGTGTCTCCCCACTCCCCATCACTGACTATCCTATAGCCAGTTCACTTTTTAAGCCTGTTTAAGTTGTTTTATGTTTAAGATACAAATAAAAAGCATGCCACACATTTTCAAAACTCTAATGGAAAACTGATGAATTCATAAAAGCGCTAACAAAAGATCAACATAAAAAAAAATTAATCACATGGGACTGAGTGAACTGATGAAGATGATTATAATTTTTGTGACTTTCTGTTTGAATAAAAAAAAATCCCACAAGGACTCAGAGGCAAAAAATATACAAATCAGTTTTCACTGCAAAGTAAAGGAGCTGTTACAGTGGAGGATTACTGGACTGAATGTCAATATTATGACATAGTATGGGTGTGTTTCGTGTTTGGTAATTGCAATCATTGTTGCTTCTGTTGTGGTCATCCATTTACAATGCTTGGTGTCAGTTTATTTATCTCTTGTAAAAATAAAATACAGTGTGTGTGTGAAAAAAAAAGAGATAAAACAGTCTGAGGAAAGGGTAATGATTAAAATTTTATTATCAGAAACAATACGAAGAAAAAACCAGAAAGCATGCCACACAAAGTTGCATCAAATCTAGCCTGAGTCATGTGAAACTATACTGTTAACTGTGTGTTTTATTTTTAAAAGATGGATATGTCTTCCATTTTTATCGTAATCTTTCCTTTTTAATATTTAATAACAGTAACCGGTAGCCTCTTGGCATGTTTAGAAAAGCAGCACCAGTCATGGGAGTCCTAGTTTTGCGTGACCCCAGATCTGTTCCTTCCCCCGTCTGCAGTTTTGCAGGAGCCGATCCGGCAGGCTGTACGTCTCTGACTTCCGGGAAGGTTCAGCCAATCAGAGCCTTTGATGTGGTGGGGGTGGGGCTTAAGAAAGAGGCGGGGTATTTCCCTCCCTCCCTGCCCGGGTATTTCCCTCCCTCCCTGCCCTCCCTGTCTGCCTCCTGCTACGGCTGCACCTCTGTGGTCCCAGCTCCCTGCTGGGCAGGCTCACCTTGCCTGCAGCTTCCACCAGGTGACCTCAGTTCCCTGGGCTCCATTTACCTCTGCCTTTTGTCTCTCCAGCCTCAGCGTGCTGGTGGCTTCCTGCTAGCTCTGGGCTGCACCTATGAACCTTCCACCACCTGTGCACCGAGTGAAATTTGCTCTGTTGTACAGTAATAGGGCTTCCCGTGCTCCATGTTGGACTCTGTTGTGTATTCCAGTATTCTCACACGTGATCGCAATATAGTTTTCTTCAGAGGCATGGGAGATGGAGGCTATGACTGGGTTAAAATCCGCTGATTAAAAGCAGTCTAAGTGTTTGTGTTCACTATGGCTGTGGTATAAGGGGAAAACCCTGCCTGGGTGTCTGGTGCCTAGTTCTCACTGAGTCACTAGGGGAGCTTAGAATCACTCAAGTCAAAGCCTCAGCTTCTTGAAAAATGAAAGTGCTCCCCGGGGTCCCTTCTGGCAGCCCCATTAGCTGGCTTTAACTCCTTCCAAACCAAGACAGTTGTAGGATGCAGACTCAGTTCCTGTGGGGACCAGCGAGTTGTCTCCATCGGCTCGGCGGACCCTGACTCCAGCCATCTGCCCTTTGGAGGGGTGCCATTGGTCCCTGAGGGGTCAGGTGACACAGTGTGGGCGAGCTGGGGCAAATCTGTCACCACTCTGGAAAGACCTCCAAAACAGGCTTTTCTGATCTGACACATGTGCTTGGTCTTCATTCAGGCGCAACTCACTCCCAGATCATACAGTGCAAAAGTAAAATTTACTGCTCAGCTGTCCTGCCAGTGGGTTTAACAATGTATCAAAGATGTTTCATCTGTTCACCTTAAGTATACAACCAATGGGCAGAACGTGCAGATGGCACTTGTCTGATGTAATGTAGTCTCTCTTTCTCCATTTTAAGCACAATCTTATAGTCTCTAAACAGCATTTTAAAAATACGTTGACCCACATGTTGTTTGTGTATACGTATATATTTGGGGCCAGATGCTCTGGGTATCTTAAATAACTTTGATTTACTAAACTTCCCTCCTCCTTCCCCACCCCCAGCCCTTTCTTTTCAGAAGATACCTTTAGACAATCACCATTCACCTCCAACTCAAAAGACCTGCTGCCCAGTGAATCTGTGCTTCACGGAAGAATATCAGCTCCAGGTATGGAAACATTGTCGATTTTGCTTCTACTAATGGTTGCTTAAAAATTACTTTTCTGGAATGCGTGGATTCTCAGGTACTGTTGGTTCAGTTTATAGGCTGAAGTTACTCATCTGAAGCTAGGCTTTTGAGAAGAGAGAGAATTTAAATAGCCACAAAAGTTTGTTAAAAGAAAAAGCAGACAGTAAGAAGGCTCTCCGCTGCGGGGGCTTATTGTTCTTTATCGGCTGATGTTTCATTCGCAGAGTGAATTCCTTTGAAATAGCGAAGTACAACCTGGAAATAATTTGCTTTCCACGTTGTCAGTATTTTAGGCAGGCAGCCAGGAAGATGCAGGAGGGCGGTGGCAAGACCGCTAGTCGCAGACCGGGAAGATCGTGACCCTGGGGGGGGGTGTGGGCCACCACAAAGAGCACTTCGGTTTCCATGGCAGCAACACAGCTTGTTACGACAGTCTTGCCACCCAGATATCACCTCTGTTCTGAGAGGATCCGCATAGATCCATCTACCACTTCCTTTTGCCACCTCGGCCTCAATGCACAATTTCCTATCCACGCTTCCTTTTTCATTGCTCCCTTCCCGAGCAGAAAGAAAGATGTGCCTGCTGTCCCCTTACCAACAGCATGGCCATCCCTCAGGACTTAACATGTGCATCTCAGAGTTGTCATGAAATGAGAACGTTTGAGAACCCCTGCCCTGGAGTCCCTCCTCCCTTCCCACCCCTCCCCCACCCCAGTACCACCAGTCCAGCTGCCAGGAAGCTTTCAGCTCCCAGTCACTAAGAGAATTTCAGAAGCTCCTGGTGGCCTCCACACCCGTTCATGTGTCCAGGAGAGACCAAGGCCACATGTGTGCACGAGGGGCTCACAGCAGGGTTGTTGGCCAGGAATTCCTGCAAGAATAAAGTCCAGTGTCCCCCTCACACGCAAGGAGCCCGTGTCACAGACGCAAACGGCTGCAGAGCTGAGTGTTTTGCGATTCAGAAAGACCCAAGGAGCATCTTCTGAGATACTGGCTTGTGGATGTCACAGGTCGTTGGAAGTGGTCCGTGACAAACAGTGGGGAAGAGGCCACTCTTTGTCGTTCTTTAGTCTTGTGATGGCAGATCCATTTCTTCTCATCTCCAAAGAGTCCTTGTTAGCCTGGCAGGGCTTTTCTATTCAAACCCCATAAATAACATGCTTACACAAAAACACGTTACATAATACCTGGTTCCAGAGGTGGAAAGAAATTCTGGTTAGTTGATGCCTTCATTCTCAAACAGGGGCTATTGGAACTGCTGTTTACTTCCCACAGTGTCTTTTTGAATAACCATCTCCCTGTTCCCCAAATTATCACCCTGCTGTTAAGTTGATGGATTGTGACTTTCTAATGTCAAAATAACTGCCTAGTAATTGCCTGTCAGAATGCTGTGACCCATACAGCCAAGCATCTCGTGATGTATATACAAACCCTGCATTGCTGGCTTAATGTGCGGCTTGGCTATATTTTAAGAAGGGTTTATTGGTCAAGTTACAGCTCGCCCTCAAAAAGCAATATGTTTAACTATGTGTGTTGTGTTGTCGGGTGGGGAACTTGCTATGATGCGCTTCACAGACTTTTATTACAAATTAGATAAACTCACCCTTAAAAAGTTAACTCTTATTTTGGGGGGAGAAGTCAGCATAACCGGGATTTTTTTTTTAATGTAAATCCACCATTCTTGAGGGGTAATCAGTCTCTGTTCTTGAAAAAGCCTTTCTTTAGGCAGAGGATAGGCAAAATGACTATATTTAAATTTTGCCAAAAGAGACAACTAAAAAGGGCCTATTTAAAGCAAGCAAGGTAAAAATGCTTTAGAAATGGAGTTAAAATTAGAAAAATTAAAAGCGGTAAGGACAATCTGGTGATCACAAAGTTCTCGTAATCCGAAGATATATTTTGCAAGGAAAACCTTGATAATTTGGACGAACTGTGGAGAAGACCAATCTGAACTAACAAAAGATTGAAGTACGGAGACTTTTCAAGAAAACATGTGTTTGACGTCTGGACCGTGATACATGGCCATTGTGTACTACCTGCTCAAGCTCCCCAATCCTTTACCCACAAATCTGAAATCCATAATTTTTTGAATAAGTTGTTTGGTGGCAAAACCTAATGGGAGGCTATTTATAGCCTTTATGTATTATGCCAAGGATGAAATCCATACATTTTTGTTGCAGAAATATCAATGTGCTTGATTACGAAGGCCCATCGGAGTGTTACATAAAATAATATCTTACGCACCATATTATCATCTGAAATCAGAAAAAGTATGAATCCCAAAATACATCAGGCCCCAGGGGTCTTAGATAGATATGGTGAACCTACGTCTGTTCCAGGACTCTGCTAAATGCAGTGCTGGGAACAAAGAAATTTTGAAGCCACAGTTAAAGATCTTAAGGTTCTAGGGTATAAGAATCATAAATTCCTATAGACGATTTCGGAAGACCAAGTGGACAGCAGATTTCTGAATCATTGGCGATGTGGCAAGAACGAGTTGTCCGAGGCAGATGCTCTAGTACTACGACAGCATTGTCAGTGAGGGCCTGGATTCGAGAAAAGGAGGACAGGGATAGGACAGGCAGGAAATGGGCTAGTTGACTAGTTTGGTTAGCTTTGTTATCAGCAGGTTGAAGTAGGGACCTATGGTGGCTGTGCAGAAATGGGGAAGCCAGGAAGGAGATAGCTGGCTTTAGTGACTAGGCAGAAAATCATTTGTTAGTATATAAATAAAAGCGTCAGCATCCTTAGACATCTTCTCTTGGGTAATTTAAATGTCACCATTAAAAAATTATTTCCATTCTTTATTTACTTAGCAAACTTCTTGCCACACATCATGTAAAGATAAATGTCAGCCTGGAGAATGATCTCAGAGTCCCAACTAGTGGAGACCATAATTAATGAGGTTTAATGTGCCTAGTTACAATCCAAGAAAGCCCTTGCAAATGCTGAAAACCCACAGCATTAATTCAACAATATATATTGGTATATATTTATATACCTCTATCAGTGGGATGAAATTCTCTCCCATTCGCCTTTGGAGTGAGACCACGGGACAGGGGAGTGTACCACGTGAGAGTATCGTTGAAGGCCTGGCAGCTCCAGGCCAAAGCGATGCTCACAGTGGGTTGTGATTGTGTTTCAGGCCTGTGGAGCACGAAGCAAGCGGTGTGGGAGAGAGCAAAATGGGGAGAGGTGGTAGCACCACGGATCATGGAAAAATTGAGAATAGCACTGTTAACTAGGCATTTGCCTTCGGCAGATGGTCTCTAAGACACACAGCTGCCACCATCCCAGAGAAACAGAATAAACACAGAGCTTCGCAGTGTCCTGGACCCGGTTGTTGCCACTATTTCTAGACTGACTTTCCTGTGAACCAAAAAATGCTCACGAGCCAAGACCTAACATTTTTACTTGCTGTGAATGTCTTAGGCGGAGGTAACACCAGGAATCCTTAATAAAACAATGAGTTAAAAGCTGCTGTCATCGTCTGCTGGAGGGATGTGAGGACAAAATAACCTGAAGGCCGTGAATAGATGACTGAGTGCACCCTGGCTAGTGCCGTGGCTGGTGGTGATTGTACAAAAGAAATAAAAGAGATGTCCTATTATGGGGGAGATAAAATTACAGACTCTGTGTAATTTAATGTACTTTGTCTAATTTATAGTTGTCTCACTTTGTAAAAGATTTACACTAATAGAGGAGAGATTCTGAGGTCAGGTGTTTTTCAGGGCACGAGGGCAGTTCTGTATAAGGAGTGGACCCATCGCCATGTACCTGCAGCTGTTGTGTTTTCCCGTCGTCTTTCCGAAGCAAAGGCTATTAAGAGAAGGGTTTACGTCTCAGCACTGCTTTTAAGCAGTGTGGAGCTTCAATTCTGTTTTATTATGATTTTGAAGTCACAGTATGTTTGCTCTGTATTAAGACAAAAACACAAGCAGAGCGGGTGTGAAGGAAAATGCAGGTCTCCGTGGAACTCTTTCACTGTGTTTGGAGTCACCGATGCGTCTGTTTGTTGTTTCAGATGGAGCTTAGAGTCAGACAATGTAAAACATATCAGCAATTGTATTTGTAAATCCCTTCACCCATTATTTGCTAAATTCCCTTTAAAAAAAGAAACTCTTTTTGCTGTTATTGTTCATAACATCCAAACAAGAAGAACATGGGCAAAATTTAGTTCAAGACTTGATATGCCAATCAGGTTTGATGTTAAATAAAAAGGCACATTTAGAATGGTCTGCCTTGTCCCCAGGCCAATTCTTGATCCATTTTCCTCTCTCTGTTCTGCCCATCACTCTAATACAAGTTGTACCATGTCATATACACTTTTCTGAAATCTAAATTCAGAACACTTTTCTGAATTGTCATATACACTTTTCTGAAATCTAAATTCATGGTGCCTTGCATTAGAGTGCCGCCAGTGACTAACTCTTGGCCTGCCGTGCAGCTGCCCAGATAGGAATGACCTCTCTCAGGCAGTGGGTTTAAAAGATGTGCATGTCACCTTTGTTTATGTTAAGACTTCCCGACTCATATCTCGAGAGAGAGACATACCAAGCTTTCCTGGATTACAGCAAAGTGTTTTCTTCAATCCTTTTTCAAACACAGCAGATTCTTTTAAAATTCAGACTAAGTCATGGATAAACAGTAGAACACTGGGTGTTGTTTGGTGTGTATCATTTGGTGGCTTAAGCTCCTTTTTGATTAAACAGATTCATCCTGTACAGAGGAGGAAGTTAATAGTTATCAAGGACCTGCTAAATTGTCAGGCCCGGGATCTGTGTCATCTCATTTAATTTTGAAAACAACCCATTGAGACATAGGAATTATGCTCAATTTACAGGTGACTAAATGGAGGTTCAGAGAGATTTAATACCCTTTTTCCAGTTTTATTGAGATATAATTGACATATAACATTGTATTCGTTTAAGATGTACAACGTAATGATTTGATATACATATCTTTCAGAATGATCACTG